TTTTTTAAATCGGAGAATAAACCGTATGCATACTAACCAGTCTGAGCCTCAATAGGTCAATGGTAACGTCTCCGGCTGATTACAGTACTGGGTGACGCTGATTCGAATCTCAGTAGGGACGTGATGTTCCCTGAATCTTGTGTTAGTAGTTCAGTGGTAGAACATTGGCCGAACACAAAAATGGTCTGGCCATCTCACTCCTTTACCTCGTATGGTTGGAAGGGAGCCTAGGAAAGAGGGAAGGTTGGACGTGAGGCTGGTAACCCCATCCCGTTAAAAACATCACTGCTACTGAAACTTCAAGGCCGTAGCTTGAAGACCTATGTCCGACTGTGAACACAAAGGAATAAAATACTAATAGTAAATACTAACCAGTCTAATATATGGATTTGTTTATTATAAATACTACTCTTTTGGTTAAAAAGACTCTAATGCATCAATCCTATTAAGAAATGACAGAAAACTCCAGCTATACAGCAAAAGACAATAATCTAGCCTACCGCACTGAGAAATTGTGACCAGAGGGTAGTCCACCATGTCAGGATGAAGTGGGTGTTGCTCGTTGAAGACATTGTTTACGGATAGCGCTTTACTACGAATTGAGAGAGGCTAGGATTCACAGGTCACTGAGTTGCCATTCAAGTGGTGGAATGGTCAACTGGTTTGATTTCGTCACCATAAGATCCATGATTCGATCCCTTGTTGGGTTGTGGGCACCCAATACTGAGGAGTTCCAGAAAAGAACGAAACATCTCTTGTTCGTTCGCAAGGAAGTCCTTACAACATCCCATTTATCTAAAGACACACAATATTATGTAAAGTTTCAAGCTACATTTTAATAATTTAATTAAATCATCTCACGTATGGTCCGGGTTCGGTCCCGGCCGACGCACTCCTTTAAGCCCTATGTTCCTCTAGGAATTAAAGGATACAATAATATATGCTAAAGGTAAATAACCATATAGTTGAATCACCAAGGTAACAATAATTTATTAAAGTCTGCTGATATGTCCTGTCGATGATGGCGTTAAAAAAAGTACAGGAATTAACTTTAGCATTTTCTGACAAGTGAGGCGTAAAATCAAATATTATCCTCCATCCATTCACAATTAGTTTTGATTTAGTTACTTCAATCATTCAATAAAGAGGAAACAGTAGCGTCCTTTGAATAAACTTTTAAGCTGAAAGAGTCATTTACCTATTTCTCTCTATTTTTTTAACTTTCACATGGAATTTGTAAAGTATTAAATACATAAAGAGAAATTGTTACTATCCTTCATTTCCAATCATTTCTGTAGTCTTCAATCCCCCTGTTAAATGTACAATAATGGGATGATCAGTAAAATCCATTTAGTAGACGCCTAGTCACATTAATCTTTTTTGAAAAAAAAACTTGTATCTCATAAAACTTAAAATCTTAGAAAATTCTTGTTTTCTTCGGTTACAATTTGTTCTCGAAAAATACGCGGAAAAATATGTAAAAGGTACTTAAAGAATATCCTGAAGAATAACTAGTTCATGGAAGTGTATGCCTTTTTGTTGAACTATTATCTCACCACAGATGCATGTAGAATTACAACATCTAATTCTTGCAATAGTAGTTACAAAAAATGTTCAACTTTTGTGGAAGGTTTACTTTTAGTTTAATCTTGTTAAACATTATGTAGTTGTACAGAAGAAAAAGATATCTACAGCTAATGCTTTTCGGAAATTATTATTATTATTATTCCCTTGGGTTCCAACTGGAACATAGGGTTCAACAACACATCTCCACTTTCTTCTATTCTCTGCTGTCCTCTTCATCTGGGTCCATGATTGCCCATAATCTCTCATCTCCTCCTCCCCAAACGATTTCCTCCATGCCACACTAGGACGACCCACTCGTCGCTTCCCATTCGGATTCCACTCGAGCAATGGCCTGGCGTGATATGTCACTCGGCGGACTTCTCAATGCATGCCCGATCCATTTCCACTTTCCCCTACATATTTGTTGAGTGATCGGCTCTTGGTTGGTTTGTTCCCATAGTTTCTTGTTGCTTATTCTTTCTGGCTGGCCGTTTGATCTTCAGTATGGAGCCAGCCAGCGAAAGGGGCATCTGTTGATAAAAGTCTGCCAACTGTTGGAAATGCTTTTCGTGACAGGCAGTCCAAGTTTCTGGCCCATATGGAAGAACCGAAAAGTAAATAGTATTTATTTACTAGAATGTGTGCTACAAAAGCTAAATATTTGAAATATATGTAAAAAGACAATTTTGAAGAAATATGACAGACTTAATTATCTATATTTCTATTAGTAATTATTAGTCTACACTTCTCAGCACTGCTTAAACTCTGATTACCATCTGGTCTAGGTAAACGTAAATTTCATTCTGATGTGATAGCGCACCTCGTACGTAACACGACCTAAACAAAAATGTTTAATCGAATTTCCATAATAAGCTAAAATAGCATTTAGACAGCACTTTCATCCATGTTAGTTTGTTTGTTAGATGTATCACACAGTGAAATAGTATTATTATTTACACCGGATGACAAAGTTTCGAATACTATTTGTTATTGTTCGTAATCATATGAATTATAATCAAACGACTTCGAAACTTGAGTTTTATAGTTTTCTTTGTTCTCTCCTATTTGTCGTCGTAGGGGTAGTAGAATTTTCCAGATATCCGGGTGGACAGGTGTTGAATCATTCCCATCACACATGTTTGCAGTTGATTCGACAAATAAAGCTTCCACTATCAGTCCTACTCCCTCCACCCTGTTACATTAGATTTTAAAACTGTCATCTTATCCCATCCTATTCTATGGTTATGTGTAATCGCATGTAGTGAGTGGTATACCTGAACTATTCTCCAGATTTCTTATCTTATTAGGATCAACTAATCTGGATTTTGCTAGGTTTTTATGCTCTGCTAGTCTGACTGACGCCGTTCTACTACTTTCACCTATGTATTTGACCTGACAATCATTCCAGCAGGGTATTAGATGAACTAAATTGTTTGGTTTAATCGGCTCCACTGGCAGGATCCTTTAACCGACAAAGCTTGTTTCTAATTGAGTTTGTGGGTTTAAATCCCACTTTTATTCCTGGGAATGATTCAACACCTGTCCACCCAGATATCTGGAAAATTTTACTACCCCTACAACGACAAATAGGAGAGAACAAAGAAAACTATAAAACTCAAGTTTCAAAGTCGTTTGATTATAATTCATATGATTACGAACAATAACAAATAGTATTCGAAACTTTTTCATCCGGTGTAAATAATAATACTGTTTCACTGTGTGATATATCTAATAAACAAATTAATATGAAATTACATACTACCACAGTGCCCAAGTTTTACACATACATTAGCATTTTCATGAGTTCATAAAATCCTTTCTATCAGATATGATAACTTCTAATTTTAACTCAATAGGATCTGATTAGACACTTCACTATCACTGAAGTTGAATACCGAAAACTCTAGTTCATATAAGAAAAATGTCAATATGTGTACTTCACTATGCAGGTGCTTTGAAGTACGAAATTATCTCTTAAAATGTGTTTATCCATCTATTCCACTTATTCAGAATCTCTCTGTGTAAATGCTACACTTCGGAGAAATTGATGATATTAATCTTATCGTTGGTAAGCTGGAAATTCAACAGATGTGATTCACTGGCTTAAGCTATTTACCCAAGACTATAAAGTAACTCATTAAACATCTACTCCATGTTCTTTAGACTGGGAAACACTGTAGTGTCATAATCAATCATCAACTGACAATCCTCAGATCATAACGAACACAGGTCCATTGTTAAATGATTCATAGTTTCAGCTATTATACACCGATAATCTTCCTGATTATAGTAGACTGGGTTACGCAACAGACCATCGTTAGTGGGAAAACCTTTTGAGATTTGGATTTCCCAGATGATTTATGTCTCATATCGCACGAACTGGAGGAATTTTTAAGCGAAAACCAACAAGTTGTTAAAGGCAGCAAGTACAAAACTTCATGTGTACATAGAGAAGATAGGGGTAATTCAACATAAGTAATGAATATCAACTACTTTCATTGGGAGAAATCTAAATGAATTAGTCTCTTTCACTTACCTCAGCAGAATCGTATAAACTCCAGGCAGCACAGATGAGGATATCTAAGCCAGTCATAATGAGATTGGGTAAGCAAGACAGGAGTTCATTATTCTGGAATCGGTGTTGTGATCCACAGTAAGATCCAAATTCTTACCAATTATGTCAAATCGGTTCTGATATATGATTCAGAGACTTATTGTGTGTGTCAACGAAGGTATTTTCAACCGGTTGTAGACTTTCATCAACAGCTACCTTCACTCAATTCTGATAATGGGATAGTAGACCACAAAGGATAAGCGACAAGGAACTATGGAAGTCAACCAGTCAAAATCCTACTACCCAATGAATATGCGGAAAGAAATGGAAATGAATCAAACATACGCCAAGGAGACTTTCACATACCAGACTAGCCCCTACCCCTGGTGGGTGCGTACTGATAAAAAGTCCCAAACTAGGCTGACGAAACAACTGTCCAGTACTCCCAGGTTTTCCAGTGGTTCTCTAACTGATGTCAGCTCACGATGAAATCCTCCATGAAATCAAACAAAATACCTACAAAACCAATACTTGAAAATTTACGTGTTAGTCGACTGCATGTAAAAAAGGAGCCTATTTCATAAGTATACACTTGCTTTCAATTTCTTTAGTTTGAATGCTATGCAGAAGATATATCTTCAGACTAAGTACGGAACATGTGGATGAACATTTTCGAATGATGAAAACTTAGAAACCCTCTTCAGATAAAACAGAAATCGCACTAACCAACTGAACTTTATACCTCTGTTCAGGAGCCTACTATGCTGTTTTGTAGCAAAGTGTATTTATTCAATAATAATCTCTGTCATTAATTCATGTTTTTACATTTGATATCTGTTGTGCATTTGATTATTATTTTTTTGTTGTTGTCTTAATCAAGATATTGATGAATGTCATGAATTGGAAAATGTTTGTAAATCTAACAATCCACACGCACCAAGTCAAGCCTGCATAAATCTTATGGGTAGTTATCGATGTGTATCGGATGAAACCCCACCCAATTATATAAAACGTCGGTTGGGCAATGGATTTAGGTAAGTTGTATTATCAAAGTAATGGTTTCATTTGGAGATGGTGGTGGGGGGAGGTTTAAAGACATCATAAAGTTGCTGTTATTTAGACTGATTTTATATCTTTGATTATGATTATTAACAATTCTAACATTTTTGGGTTACTGTTCTACAGGGTTAGCTTGAACAGTGTTCATTTTCATGGACCTTATGAAAAGTCGACGAAATTCTACATGAAAAAACTTATGCAGATTAAAATGAAACATTTGCCACAATAAGTTGAATACATACGAAACTGTGGAACACTTAAGAGACTCTAAAAATAGTTAAAGTAACTATTATCTGTCTCTCACAGTATTTCTCTTTCAACTTGAAATCCTTTTTATCAGAAATCATCAATGACACTTACAAGCTTATGGAGACGAATTAATAATTGAAAGCCTTTAAGAGTTGACTAAATCCTGTATACTGCCATAGTCGTAGGTTGCAATGAAATTCAAAATAAGCATTACTGATTTCTGCTGCTAATAAATGAAGTCAAACCAGTACTCGAATTGACATGTACCGTACCCATGTAAAAACTCATACTTCAAGAAAACGGAATCGTTTCTGAGTAGTACAAACAACAAAAGTTTGTTTGTGTTTACACTACTAATAAGTGAAATGAAGATTTTACAAAATTTTTTTAGTCCTCACAGAACTCAACTAGAGTTTTGGATTCTTACGCTGACCACCACTAGACAAATAACCTGATTACAGTTTCCTGTTCAACCTGAGAGTCAAGGAATAGTGGGTAATTTTACAGTTACTTATCTTTACCTCGGAATTAGTCTAAATAATCTCAGAATACAGTAATGCATCTATATTATTATTACCATTCCCTTGGGTTCTGAGTGGAACATAGGGCTTCAACAACACATCTCCACTTTGTTCTATTCTCTGCTATCCTCTTCATCTGGTTGGCCCCACGATTGCCCATAATCTCTCATCTCCTCCTCAAACTCTCACGATCTCCTCCATGTCACCCTCATACCGAGGACCCACTCGTCGTTTCACATTGCGATTCCTCTCGAGCAATGGCCTGGCGCACCATATCATTCGACGGTTTTCTCAGTGTGTTCCCAGTCCATCTCCATTTTCTCTCACATATTTGTTGAACAGTCTGCTCTTGGTTGGTTTGTTCCACTGCAGAGTTTCTTGTTGCTAATTCTTCCTGGTCAGTCATTTCATCTTCAGTATAGAGCCAGAGAAGCCAGCTATTAATAAAAGTCCGCAGTAGTCTGTCAAAAATACTTTTCTTGACTCAGACGCCAAATTTCTGACCCGTATAGAAGAACTGACTTTACATTCGTGTTGAAAATGCATCTACTTCTGTAACAAACAATCTTGAGTGCCTTTAGGTTAGATTGTCATCTTTTACAGGTACAGTATAGTATACGTCAGTATCCAGCCTAAATTGAAGTGTATTTAAAAATATTAAGAAGCATTTTTTTCATTGAAAATTATGTTTTTTATTGGTCATCTTAAAGATGCATGAAATTTCGAGATAAATCATGCCCACTTCATTTAATTAGTGTTCTATTTGTTTAGTGTCTTAGATGTGAACTAATGTAATAGTTCTGTAAATGCTGTCCCAGTTGCTTCCAATTTAAGCAGTAGACTGAGAGTATTTAAGTTTTTCGAGTTATACCACGGATTTATATCAGTTAGAGAACCACTGAGAAACAAAGGGTACTGGATAGTTGCTTCGTCCTAGTTTGGGACTCTTCGACAAGTACGCACCCACTGGGTTTTGAACGGAGGACCTACCGGTTACAAGGCACACTCTTAGACCATTCAACCAACGGCCCATGAATTATAACTTGTAACAATTCGTGAGTTTTAGTGCTCTAACTCGAAAAACAAATCAAATCCTTACAAACAAACCCTTGAAAATTAATCTGATGCTCGCCAGCGCCTTCCTACAGGACGCAGTTTCCTGGAGTTCTAGTGAGAAGTCTTGACCAGTGAGGTCCATTTAGTAGGGAGAGGGAGAGAGGGTGGAGTTCCCGCCGATGACGTTGGTTGGTGGTCGCGAGAAAAACCACGAATTGGTAGAAGTTAGAATTCATGGACTGGCCATTGAGAAGGGTCTCGTTTGCTGAATGGTCTACGAGCACGCCTTGTAACCGGAAGGTCCTCCGTTCAAAACCCAGTGGGTGCGTACTGTCGAAGAGTCCCAAACTAGGTCGACGTAACTATCCAGTACTCCCTGGTTTTTAATTGTTTTCCAACTGATATCAATGCGTGGTCTAAATCGAAAAAGGAGCCAAATCCTTACAAATCAACTCCTGAAGATATTTAAGTAGCCATACAGGTATCACTTCATGAGTTCTACTATTCAAACTGATTTAGATAGGTGACATTACGATTTTTTAGAACACTGAGTAACACAAATAATTTGTTGTTAACATGACATCAGCATAAATGGAAAGAACCTGAAAGAAACAACCTCTTTTACCTACCTTGGAAGTATCGTTTGAACTACAGATGGGTGAAAATGACGAGGATATCAAAGCAAGAACCGGAAAAGCAAGACAAGCTTTCACTACTCTCAAGTCTGTGTGGAGGTCAACAGCACTCAGCATCAAAAATAACATCCGGATTTTCAACTCCAATGTGAAGTCAGTGCTACTCACTATACGGATCAGGGACTTGGCCGGCGCGACATAAAGAGCCTCTCAAACAAACTACAGACCTTCATCAACAGTTGTCTTCGCTCAATACTCACTATCAGATGGCCAGAAAAGATCAGCAACAGAGATCTCTGGCAATGAGCGAACCAACCACTAACCAATTGTGAAACAAATATGCAGGAAGAAATGGAGGTGGATTGGCCATACTCTGAGGAAACAATGCATCAAGTGACATCACTACACAAGCCATTGCTCGAGTGGAACCCGAAAGGGAAGCGGTGAGTTGGTCGTCAGTGCGAAGGTGGGGTGACTTGGAGGAGGTCATGTGAAGAGGAGATGAAAACGTGTGGGCAGACATGGAGCCAGGTGAAGACTCTAGCAGAGAACCGAAGGCAATGGAGACGCACGGCTGAAGCCCTATGTTCCTCTAGGAATTAAAGGATACAAAAATATAATAATTAGACATCAATGCCACAATATATTTAAATATATACGGTTTATTAAATTCGTAATTAAGTAGTCTAATCTGACTCCTTTAAAATCTGGTTTTCCATAATCTATTTCTGAAATATATTTGTGGTTAATTAGTCTGTCTATGCCTAGAAATTCTAATTTAGTTTAAAAAGCTTTTAGTTCCATTATGTGTGAAATTTACACACTGAAAACAGTTCAATAATGCTCACTGTTTACATCCATTTATTTTATCACCGTGAGAATTTCACACAGAATTTAATAAGATGTTGAGTTGAAAGAAAAAATACCAGTCACTGGATTTGAAGTAATGTGAAGTTAGCGTATTCTACAAAACATTAGATTCTATTAATAAAAATACAACCAAGTTTACAATCAATAAATGACAACTGACAGTATCTATCGTGTTGCTAAGCTGTTTAAATCAATAATTAGATTATCGTCTACATCCCATTTCGAGTTGAATCTTATTTTTTCTTGAAATATCTTGGTAAAATACATCATTGGTGTAGATGCGAGGTTGCTAGTCGTGTTAACTAATCAATATATTTATTCACTCATTGAGAACTTATCATATAAATAGATACTAGTGTGGTGTGTGCTACTGATAAGATTTATCAGTAGTATGTAAAGAGACGCACATAGGCAGAAAAACATCAAATAGCGGGGAGATAGATTTGATGTCAGAGAAAGTAAATGATTCAGAGTTGCGGAGATAAATAGGAGACGTGAGAGGAGCACAACGAAACACAATTTGAAGACCAAAAGTAACAAAACACTGAAGATCTATGCAAATGACGACTTGAAGATAATGTGTACATAATACAGAAATACCAAATCCTCCAACCGCTACACTAAGTCAAACAGTCGTCCTATTTACCTTAAAATCACTGACGGTGTAGCACATAAACAGCTAAAGTTTAAAATAAAAGCTAAGATGAAGCAAACATTCACGTGATCAAGATTATTTTGATACAAATATTTCTTCGAATTAATGAAAAACAACAAGTTGCTAGGCTATTCAAATACCCTAGAATAAATGTATCCAAATACTAGTTCACTCATAATCCTACGTCTTTTGAATGACTTAGCTATGTGTCGTTTACTTTCTGTAGTCATCCCTATTACTATCTTGAATCATATGATACTCTCACAACACACACTCACAAATTCTCACATGACTTCTAATTTTTTATGTGTATCCAAAAGAATATTGACACCTATGAATTATTGTTCACAATGTCCACGATATATTGATATATATACAGGACAATTCAGTGAAGAGAATCCTCTTTATCGACGAAATAATCTTCAAAGGCTGTGCAGTCGTATTTATATTTACCAGAAATGTATATTAGTCCATTACTGAGTAATAAGGGTGACATAATTCATATAATTATTGAGATGTCGCTTCAAAAGTAAAAATAAGAGTTCGGAGGCGTTGGCAATTCGTTACTATAACCCCAAACTCTGTATATAGAAAAAGTTTATCCAGTCTCTTATTCTACCATGGTCTTAATCTCTTCATTAGTCGTTCCCTGTTATTTTTTATTTTTATATTTTTATTGATTGTTTTGCTTTTACTTTAATAATTAATTCACCATTTTCATTCTCACATGTTCCTTTTGTACACTTTTTCACCCTCTTCACACTTGTTAGATGAACATTCAACTGCCTTTCTTCTCACTCAATAAAAATGTTAACCTTATCAGATTTCTAACGCTTTCTCCCCTTATACCGTTGAGTATTTTGTAATTTGTGACTTTATTTTTGCCTTCAAAGCCACTTCTAAGTTATTCTATCAATTATATCACCACTATTACTTAGTAATGGACTACTATAGATTTCTGGTAAATATAAACACGACTGTACAGCCTC